TGTTATGTGTAGAGCGTTGTTGTCATGTTTGATAGGGAAAAGATGTTCGTTAGAGATTGTATGTGCAGCCGTATCGTTTGTGTGAGAGTGTTGTGACGTAATTGTGTAATGGGAAGTGACGCGTTAGTTTTCGTTGTGGTTAGAGAAGAGTGATGGCGGATGTGCTACATTGACTGTTGTGGATTGAATACTGTTAATTGTTGTGCTGAGAGAATTGATGGGGAATATACTGGCAGAAGTGTTTGGATTGGTATGTTGATTAATATTTGGTTGGAGTGATTTATTATCAAATTCTGAAATTATACATCAAGTCTTGTTCATCGAGTAGTGATAAATAAACTTTCGTTTACAACAAACCGGTTGCTGTTTGTTGCATTGGTGACTGTTTGTGTATGGTGTGCTGCTGAACGGAGTGCAGTGAAAGACTTGACCATACAGAAGAAACGCTTCGCGACAAGTAATAATTAAAATCTTTATCCACATCCCTAACGACTTATATGTAATCTGTGCAGTTTTGTCTTAGCTATCTAAGATGCCATTTTATATTTTTATGACTTAAATAGTTTTTAAGATATTTTAACTAGAAGGGGTGGGGACCACTATAAATGAAGGCGAACACTCCTTTAATGACTAAATATTAAAATATCCTCCAACGATGGAAACTTGTAAATATGCTAAGGTATAGTGAATAAAATCCCCGTCTTAACTAGATGTAATGTATAACTTAATACGCTTAGGTGAAAAGGGATACCTGTTACGCACCGCGCCAGTGCTACTACACACCGCGCGGCCTTGAGTTGGGCGCCAGACATGGTTTACGTAACGGGTCAAATAGTGGGTTGGGGCATACACTGCCACATCCACCCCAAACGTTTGAATTCCAGCGCCCTCGCTGGCTCGACTGTAAAGGAATCCGCAAGTACAAGACAGAGAAATATATACATAAAAAAATGCAACTGAAGTGCTCAATACGATAGACGCACCTTGGTGTAATTCACTCCCTGAGTATGACAAGTATTTCCTTGTCACGACATTGTACTATCTATAATGACATGACTTATGAGGTTACAAGCGCTCGCACCAGGTCGACCCAAGACTTGTAGCATGGCAGTACGTCTACCAAAAGCACTACGATGTACCATCGCTAATTGTATACTGGTATATACGCCTAAGTTTATGTGAAACTTGAGGCAGTTCAGCATGTGTTATTAGGACTATATCAATTATAGGTGTTGGTCGACGCATGCATACGTGGATCTTTAGGGGACAAGGCTCTCTGCCGCATACCTAATAATGGTGAGCTCACTGTAAATGGGTACATTAAGTGAGATTGACAATCAATAAACTTATAAAACACTACTTAACTTGATTACAAATGAACATGAAAAGTTTAACATTCCAGAAGAAAAAAATGTACTCTACGAATGAACAAGGGTATAAATGCATTGGCATAACAGAAAAGAAAAAAAAAAGATATTCCATCGTGATGGAGAGTAGACTACAGATCCATCTTTACTCTGGGTTTATTCCCTCTTTGAGTAATGCGGACGGATCTGCGTGGCGTAATTGGCGGAGGTGATTCTGCCACTGTTCTAGGTTGACTACTCGTCATGGCCACTTTCGGTTTTGTCCTGATTATTATCACGGGGTCCTCCTCGTCACTGTCACTGGACTCGATTGTTTCTGGGGGTGTGGCACTTGAAGCTGGTACGAGGTCCAAAAGTGGTGCTTTGGCTACTAGAAGGTCCTTTCTATTGACTGTTTTCTCGGTCCCTCCCGCTAAAGGGAGAAGCCTATAGACATGTTTACCAGGTAGTCGGGCCGTAATGCAGTATAGATCAGGCCGCCAGAAATCCTGAATCTTGTTCCGGCCTACCACCCGATTTCTAACATATACATAATCACCGACAGACAGTGGATGATCGCGGGCGTTCGTGTCAGTGAAAGCGATCCGTTTGGCAGCTTCACGTTGCAGGTGGTCAAGTGCGAGGCGGTGTGTCTCCATTAACCGGTGGCGATGCTGACTCACCCAGTTGGTGCGACATCTGTCGGTCGAAGCAACAGTTCGTCGATGGGGAGGCGAGGGGCTCTGCCAAAAAGGAGAAAATAGGGAGCGAACCCTGTGGAAGCGTGAGGAGTATTATTGTACGCCTGTACTAGATCAGGTAGGAACGTTGGCCACTGTCGTTTCCTCTCAGGTGGTAATGAGCGGAGGAGATTGTGTAGCGTCCTGTTAAACCGCTCACACTGGCCGTTCCCTTGTGGATGATATGGAGTAGTATGAGATTTTTTTATGTGGTACAGCGTACAGAGTTCCTCAATGAGCCGTGATTCGAATGACCGGCCTTGCTCTGTTTTCAAAGCGGGCCCCATTGGTTGATCTATATTGTCCTTTTTTCTCTAAAGTTCTAAATTGGATTCTAAAAAGCTATCCTCAATTTGATCCTGAAAAGCTATCCTCAATTTGACCCTGAAAAGCTATCCTCAATTTAATCCTGAAAAGCTATCCTCAATTTAATCCTGAAAAGCTATCCTCAATTTAATCCTGAAAAGCTATCCTCAATTTAATCCTGAAAAGCTATCCTCAATTTAATCCTGAAAAGCTATCCTCAATTTAATCCTGAAAAGCTATCCTCAATTTAATCCTGAAAAGCTATCCTCAATTTAATCCTGAAAAGCTATCCTCAATTTAATCCTGAAAAGCTATCCTCAATTTAATCCTGAAAAGCTATCCTCAATTTGATCCTAAATCGAATTTAACTCGTTCAATCGCGCTCTACTTGAAAAAAAAACCCACTCATTTTACCTGCGCTACAAAAACTAGTTCCTCTTCTTCTCGTGTTTCTATTCTTTACTGATGAATCACTAAACCAATGTGCTATGACAAAAATATTAGTGTCATGCGAAATATCATTGTCATATGCATAAGTAAAATGGTCAGTTACCTATTTAAAATATATAAGTTATATATGTAGTAGTGTGGTGGTTGGAGACCTTGGATGAATACGTCACGCAGTATGTCTTCTGGGAGAATGCCAGGTCGTGCAGAATTAGCTAACATGAAGATGTTGCGCAATTCTTTCGCATAGTCCTCGACAGTTTCCCCAAGGTATTGTTGTCTACGGTAGAATGCGGCCGCTAGAGTTATGACGTCACGATGATCACCCCAGTTCTGCAAAATCAAGTGCAGTAGTTTATCTGGAGTGTCTATCGTAGCAACAGCTTGGTCCAAAATGTCCTGACGAGCACGTCCCTCCAGGGCACCTATTATCCAGATGACCGCTGAAGTTGCGGGCATCGGCTGAAGTTGCAGGAATAACCTTACTTCCTTCACAAACTGCTCTGCATTGCACTCGCCATTAAATTTAGACAGCTTGGGTGGACTGTTGGCTAGGTGAAACTGTTCTACTGCACTTTTCTCCATCGGTCGGTCTAAGTGTGTTCTGTCTATGATTGTGTTACCTTTTCTTTAAAACTGTCCTCAAAGAATCCTGCCGACAACGCCAAAACTGTAGCCGAGTGGATGACGTAGCTTACAGTTTAAATGAAATCACAATAAAACAATCAGGTCTGAGAACTATAGCTTTTAATGTAAAAGGTACAATGCGTTGACAGAGCCGACAGGAAAATCTCTCACACCTGCCGTCGACCCGACGCATCCGTTCCACACCACAATCTCAAAAATGTACACACCTCAAGTCCCAGTTCGCCCCCCCCTCCCACACACACACACAGTCACAGGGAACCCGCGTCCGAGCTGACCATGGGTCAACCCCGTAGCAGGGATGATTATTCCCGCGTCTAAATAACCTACATAAAATTTAAGGCCAGTACACGGCTGAGTGTTACGTTGAATGACCATGGATAATGGATGTGTACGTGCTTGGGGTTACCCATAGCAGTCACACTATGACTATGAGAGTGGCTTCTCTTATATAGTGGCACATTGCCACAATAAAAATAACTATAACTTAACGTTGCTACAGTTTTTAAATACATGGGCCCTATGACCTTCGATTTATGTGTTTTTTTCTTGTCATTGTTAAACTGTGGACTTATTTTAACAACAAGAAATCCATTATGGAAGTGTTTTGTTTTTTTGGGTTGGGAGGGATGGTGGCACCATGAGTTTACCGCACCGGTTGACACCAACCCTAGCTACGCCACTGACTATAGGCAGGGAGGACAATACCACTTGGATCAAAGTAAAGAGTTGCCAGAGAATGCCGCTCCCTCAAAAAGAGTCAATATATATACAAAATATTTCCGTCTGAGGCGGACCAGTAAACGGAACATTTTGGTCCCCTGACCGTTTAACTCACCATTAATGTCCTATTTAAAGGCGATTTTAGAGCCCCTTGAAATATATTCACCTACTGAAATAGCACCTCTTAGCCCAAGTTGGGAATCCCTGATTTAGTTAAGCTTTAGTAGGCTTTAAAAAAAAACAAAAAAAACAAGTAAGCTTTACCGCCGCCATGTAGTCACTCAAAAACAAATTTAACTAAAGGGTGGTAATAGACGGCAATGATTGCTAGTTTTTTTAAATCAAAGTAGTCTCTCTTACATTTGTAAACAATAATGGCGGCCTCCGGTTTCTTTAGATGGTAAACATCTAAATAATCTAATGCAACTTAATGTTTATTATGAATTAAATGATACATTATATTAAGTCATTAACTAAAGCCACACTAAAGCTACGTCCTACAGTGAATTAGAGAGTAAACTGACTGTAAGTACTGTAAGTGTAAGTAAGACTAAGACCAAGTTGACCAAGTTACTAAGAGTGTGAATGTGTGAAACGTAGTGGTCCTACTGACAACTGACAACTGAGCTACTCTATTCACTGAATGAAGCTTGTAAAACTGTATCTACAATGCAATTGAAGATACAAGAAATTAGTTTAAAATTACTGGTAAATCAGGAGAATAATACCCGCGATGGCCGCCATCTTGATTGGCGCAACCAGTTAACACTGTCACTAAACCTCTCCCTAAATCGATCCCTCTACCTAACCTGAACGCTATTTCACTGCAACTATAATAAACACGCAAATGACGTCATGGGTACCGTACCCCTGATCAGCCAAATTACCTACTAATGATAAAGACTTAACTTAGAAATTTAGGCTAAAGTTACTTTGAAAGTGGGGAGGGGAATGTATTGTATATTTCGAAAATGTTACAACTTCCATGGACCATGGGCATGGGCGGAAAAAGAGTGAGAGTTTGGGTTTCTTAAAAAATACTTAAAATATTATTCTTTGGTTTATAAGACTAATCTTGGTATCAAATGAAAGGTAATTGAAAGGACTATATGTTTGTACACATATTTCTTCACTTTAATTAAAATAAGTTACAGAAAAGAACCATAAAATGTGAAAACATTTTATGCTAAACCATTTTTCTCCAAACCCTATGATGTACGCATATCTCATATGGGATGCATCTAAATATAAATTATCTTCACTATCAAAATAGTATAATAAAACAATTCCAAAGCTTGTTTAACTATTAATCGTCTAGGAAACTTACTTCTAAGGCCTAGGGTTGCCATAGCAATAGTAGAAAAAAAACGCGAAGAAAATCATCAAAACAACAAATAAACCTTGGTTTTGCTTGTAAACAATGAAGTACCACTCTTCTATGTAACAGTCTTATTCCTTGGTTTTGCTTGTAAACAATGAAGTACCACTCTTCTATGTAACAGTCTTATTTAAGAAGGGTGCTCAAAAACTTACTTAACAGTGAAATAGCAAAGAAACAAACATGATATTGAAACAACTCGCAGCGGGTTGGTCCGGGCTTTTGAGAACGGTGGAAGAACGCAGTGTGCGTTGTTCCGCATCAAAAGAGTTAACTGCCTGGGCCTGGCATATTTAGTTTTAAATTATTAATTGATCTGGACTTTTTAAGACTTTCATTATATACATGCTACTGTCTTCCTGACTTCCTGTGAATACCGAAACACCAACCATTTTTAATCATTTCAAATATTTTTAACAGGTGACCTAAAACTAAAAATAAATTCAAGCAGAAACATTGCTAATCTAGCTACCTTAATGTCCTTACTTTTGGATGTATCAAATAGTCTATCTATGGTGAAGGCGAAGGAGATATAAACTGATTTAAAATAAAATTATATTACTGATACCGTCTTAAAATGTTACTTTAAAAACATCTGGTCTTTAATTTGTACATGGTCTAGCAGGATGAATTATTGAATTCAATTGCAAATACTTTAAGAGAAGAGAATTTTGAGTTTTCCCTTTCAAACATTCTAAAAAAAAAAGCTTACATTGCTTAGGCCAGGGTCTCCCAGCCTGGGTGCCGATGGCTCCCATTTCACCATAAGTTTCTTTTCAGGGTTGTCAGAAAAGGTGATTTTAATGGCAGTCAATTTATCTTTCGACTCTTAAAATCCATTTTTATTTTTTTGTAATGAGTGCAAGACTTAGACAGCTGTAGAGGTGCAGATTTAAGAAAAGTTTACGTAAACCTAGGTCTAGGCCTTACAGAGCCCTCTCTGTCAGCATGGTAGACAAGACACCCCAGCAACATAGCATTGGTTATAGGGCACACTGGGGCATGGGCGTTCTAGGAAATCGGTAGCCCACTAATTTATTGACCTCTGAGTGTACTTGGATAGGATATTATTTGATTGTTTAAAGGCAGATTTAAATCATCCTTATAAGAGCTTAATGATGTTAGTACTTATGATTTAAGCTTAGTCATTGTATAGTTAAATAGTTTTCATGTAAGTTAGTAGTGAGTGGACTGACAATGAAGGTGTCCAGTAGCAATGACCAGTGAATAAAAAAAATTCAAACTTTTTAATTAATACTGTAACAAATCGTATACCAATAATCCTGGTCCAAACTTTTACTTGAACAATTAGCCTACCCATAATCCTGGTCCAAGCTTTTATTTGAACAAATAGCCTACCCATAATCCTGGTCCAAACTTTTACTTGAATAAATAGCCTAGCCATAATCCTGGTCCAAACTTTTACTTGAATAAATAGCCTAGTTATAATCCTGGTCCAAACTTTTACTTGAATAAATAGCCTAGCCATAATCCTGGTCCAAACTTTTACTTGAATAAATAGCCTAGCCATAATCCTGGTCCAAACTTTTACTTGAATAAATAGCCTAGCCATAATCCTGGTCCAAACTTTTACTTGAATAAATAGCCTAGCCATAATCCTGCTCTAAACCTTTCCTTGGATGTAGGTCAAACAAATGAATTTAAAGTTTAAAGAAAAGTGACTGACAAGCATTTTAAAACGTAAGCCTAACATGCCCCCACTCACAGCTGCTGTGTATGACCTCATTAAATAACCATTGGAATTAAAACTCATCATTTAAAGCTGAATGTCACCTTATGACAAACGACGTCTTTGTTTTATCATATTTTTTTTTATTTCTAGGCAGCCATGATTAAGATATTCAGCCTTGCTTTGGTTGCTCGCATCTGTCTGATGGTATACGGGGCGTGGCAGGATGCCAATATGGATGTCAAGTACACAGATGTGGACTATCATGTTTTCTCTGATGCAGCTCAGTTTGTATCTCAGGTTATTGTCAATGAAATCATAACAATCATGATATTATTTTAACAAGCATGATATTGCTTTAAGAATGATGATATTATTTTAACAATCATGATATTGTTTTAACAATCATGATATTGTTTTAACAATCATGATATTCTTAAATTAGTTGGGTTGTTTTTACTGCTTTTGATTCCATTGCCGTGGTCACATATCAATAATTATTTATCTTGATCCCTTCCTGCTAACAGCACCAGTACCTGCTCACAAAATATTGTCATCTGACAACCCATCTCCCTGCACTACATACTTACAGTGATTACATTCCATTGCCATATAACTCCCTGCTCTGCATACTTACAGTGATTACATATCAGCTTCGTTAAAGACTTATACACAATATGCTGAACACAAACTATTTTAAAAAATTTATCTAGGTTTTCAAATTCATTAATTTTCCCATCATTTAGCTTGATTAATGAATATTTAGTATACAAAATTTAAAATATTTGTAAGACGATGTTATCTTGAATCGATGAAATAGTCTATAGTTTTGTGGGTTTTTTTCTCCTCAGGGGAAGTCACCTTACCAAAGAGCCACATACCGCTACACTCCCCTGCTTGCATGGGCGCTCACCCCGAATGTTTGGCTGTCCCCATTTTTCGGGAAACTGGTATTTATAATATTTGATATCCTGGTTGGACAAGCCATCTACAGTCTGGTCAAACACAGTGGACACAGCTGGCAGACTGCCAGGAACTGTGCCTTGGTGTGGCTGGTCAATCCATTGTCAGCCACCGTGTCCAGTCGAGGAAATGCCGAGTCCATCATGGCGTTCCTTGTGCTCATGTCCCTGTCATCTTTAGTCCGGGGCAGGACAATGTTGTCTGCCATGTTCTACGGGCTTGCTATTCACTTCAAGATTTACCCTATCATCTACGCCCTGCCCATATATTTGCACCTGGGTCATGAGAGTTCTCATCTAAAAAACAACTCCTCAGTTCTACTAACATCTAAACCATGGAACACTTGGCACTCATTGCTGAACAGTCTCCTACCAAATAGACAACGTTTTTTGTTTACATCTGTTTCGGTGGCAGTCCTTGGGATGTTGTCCGGATTCTTCTATTGGATGTAAGTCAAATTAATGATCATTGGGTGGAAAAAAACTATCAAAATCAATGCAAAAAATATATGATAGTGATTTCATCTGTCATTTGGTTCAGTGGTTCTCAACCTCCCTAATGCTGCGACCCTTTAATACAGTTCATCTTGTTTTGGTGACCCCAACCAAAAAAATTATATTTGTTGCTACTTCATAAATATGTGTTTTATGATGGTCTTAGGGTCGTTTGACCCCCCAAAGGGGTTGTGACCCACAGGTTGAGAACCGTTGATTTAGATAATTGAAATCATTGCTGTTAAAATATATGTCAAAGCTTTGTTGGTCGGCCTATGATTAAAAAAAATAATATTTTGGGTTAATTTTGTTAGTTTTTAAATTCCTCACCTTAAAATCTACATATCCTGCTGGGATGGCTGGACCATTACCTACATGCAACACATATTTTATTATTTGTTTTTAACTTTCTTGCAGGTATGGCTGGACATTCCTCTACGAAACCTACTTGTACCATGTTGTGCGAGGTGACATCAAGCATAACTTCTCACCTTATTTCTACCTGCTGTATTTAACCTCGGACCCTATCGCCGGTGCCCCCCTCTGTCTGCGTCTGCTAGTGTTCATCCCCCAAGCGCTTCTACTGGTTGTGGTAGCAGCTGCCTTCTACAGGGACCAACCTCTGACATGGTTCCTGTGTACATTTGTCTTTGTCATGGCAAATAAAGTTTGCACCTCACAGGTACGTTAAAACACCATATATGTACCTTGTAGCACCACACAGGTAGGTTGTAGTACCTTGCAATTATAATGTAGTGCCTCACAGTTAGGTTGTAGCACCTCTCAGGTATGTTGTGGCACCTCACAGGTAGGTTGTAGCACCTCTTAGTTTTGTTTTAGAACCTCAGGTATAATGTAGCACCTCACAGGTAGGATGTAGCACCTCAAAGATAGATGGGTCACCGCACAGGTAGATTCAATAACTATTTATAAAAGGTGTACTGCAATAAGTATATAAATAAGACACAAATGTTTTGTGTAAATGAAACAGTGTGAGTAAGCTTTACTTAAAAGGCATAATATCAATTTAAGATGCTTTGACTTGTGCTGTACTGATGAAGGTACTTGCCAGAATGTCTCGTGTGGTGTTTTGTCTTTCAATTAAAGCTCAAAGTGTACTGTTTGGTTTTAGGTAAGATCCTACACATTCATATGGAAGTGTGATGTGATAACATCATACACATTCATATGGAGGTGTGATGTGATAACATACACATTCATATGGAAGTGTGATTTGATAACATCATACACATTCATATGGAAGTGTGATTTGATAACATCATACACATTCACATGGAAGTGTGATTTGATAACATCATACACATTCATATGGAAGTGTGATGTGATAACATCATACACATTCATATGGAAGTGTGATTTGATAACATCATACACATTCATATGGAAGTGTGATTTGATAACATCATACACATTCATATGAAAGTGTGATTTGATAACATCATACACATTCATATGGAAGTGTGATTTGATAACATCATACACATTCATATGGAAGTGTGATTTGATAACATCATACAAATTCAAATGGAAGTGTGATTTGATAACATCATACACATTCATATGGATGTGTGATTTGATAACATCATACACATTCATATGGAAGTGTGATTTGATAACATCGTTCACATTCATATGGAAGTGTGATTTGATAACGTCATACACATTCATTTTCAGCACATTCAATGAAATCAAAGGCATTATACATTCTGATTTTAAAAAGAAATTTAAACTTGGAAAGTTTCAACTTATGGACGGCCATCTTGTCTAGTCACACCTATAAGGACGGCCATCTTGTTTGATCACAGCTATTAGGACGGCTGTCCATCTTGTTTCATCACAGCTATAAGGATGACCATCGTGTGTCGCCACAGCTTTAAGAACGGCCATCTTGTCTAGTCACACCTATAAGGACAGCCATCTTGTTTGATCACAGCTATTAGGACGGCTGTCCATCTTGTTTCATCACAGCTATAAGGATGACCATCGTGTGTCGCCACAGCTTTAAGAACGGCCATCTTGTCTCATCACAGCTTTAAGTACGGCCATCTTGTGTCGCCACAGCTATAAGGACGGCCATCTTGTCTCACCACAGCTATAAGGACGGCCATCTTGTCTCACCACAGCTATAAGGACGGCCATCTTGTGCGGTCACAGCTGTTTCCTTAATGTCCATCGTGACTCAAAGAGTGACCTACTAAATATCCTAACAGCCATCAGGAAATGTTGTGTTGTTTAAATAAATAAACATTAATATAAATGATATAACCAAAGAAATGATTCCAAATAGATGTTCATCTTTTCCCCAGTATTTCCTGTGGTACCTGAGTCTGCTGCCTATCATCCTGCCATACCTGAAGCTAAGCATGGTCCAGGCGGGCAGCCTCCTGACCTTGTGGTTTGGTACACAGGTGAGTCAAACATTCTAATGAGCAGGCAATAATCCTACATGCATCCCTGGTGGTGGGTGGGGCTAGAACATCATCATACTGACCTGGTCAAATCTTTTATACCTAAATGTCCCAACCACTGACCTAAAAAGATTGTTTTACATTCTCCAGGTTGGCAACAAATGTTACAAAAGATTAGCCTCAATAATGGTTATTTCTTTTTTTTTTTGTATGTTTTTAAGATGAAATCTTGGCCTTTGGAAAACTGAGGAACTCTCGAAACAAACGTGTTGAAAATATTACAGTGAATAAATATATGAATAAATTATTGTGATTTGAACGCTGACATCGATGTCAAGTGGTTGACACAAGAGAACCAAAACACTGGATATCTTTCTTTTATTAGTTGTTTTTTGTTTTACATTATTTAAAATGTGATAAGAGGGGAAAATGTCTTTTCACTTTTTGATTTTATTTTGTCAAATATTTATGTCTATTTCTCTCCCCGCAGGCACTGTGGCTTCTACCTGCGTATTACCTAGAGTTCAAAGGTCACAACACATTTATACACATCTGGTTGGCTGGCCTGCTGTTCTTTGCAGCTAATGCTTTTATCGTGTATTACACTGTCAAACATTACATCAGGAAGACCAGATAACAAAGTCAAATTAATAATCAAAAAGACCAGACATCACTGTCAACCTTACATCAAACAGACCAGACATCACTGTCAAATCTTACATCAAACAGACCAGACATCACTGTCAAACCTTACATCAAACAGACCAGACAACATTACCTGTCTAGAGAATAACGAACATCGGTCCAAAGTTTTAAAGAGATAACACATTGTATATAGTTTTTTAGTATCACCTGTGAGTGGTCAGCTTATGTTGATCCATTGAGTGGTCAGCTTATGTTGAGCCATTGAGTGGTCGGCTTAGGTTGAGCCAGTGAGTGGTCAGCTTAAGTTGAGCCATTGAGTGGTCAGCTTATGTTGAGCCATTGAGTGGTCAGCTTAGGTTGAGCCAGTGAGTGGTCAGCTTAAGTTGAGCCATTGAGTGGTTAGCTTATGTTGAGCAATTGAGTGTCAGCTTAGGTTGAGCCAGTGAGTGGTCAGCTTAGTTTGAGCCATTGAGAGGTCAGCTTAGGTTGAGCCAGTGAGTGGTCAGCTTAGGTTTAGCCTTTAGGTTGATCCAGTGAGTGGTCTGCTTAAGTTGAGCCATTAGGTGGTAAGTTTATGTGGAGCAATTGAGTGTCAGCTTAGGTTGAGCCAGTGAGTGGTCAGCTTAGTTTGAGCCATTGAGAGGTCAGCTTAGGTTGAGCCAGTGAGTGGTCAGCTTATGTTTAGCCATTGAGTGGTCAACATAAGTTGAGCCAGTGAGTGGTCAGCTTAGGTTGAGCCATTGAGTGGTCAGCTTAGGTTGAGCCAGTGAGTGATCAGCTTAGGTTGAGCCATTCAGTGGTCAGCTTAGGTTGAGCCATTGAGTTTTCAGCTTAGGTTGAGCCAGGTAACAATTGGCATGAAGGCTCACCACAGAAGGCTCACCACAGACAGTTCATCACAGAAGGCTCAACAAATATTTATAAAAAAATAGTTCATTTTTTAAAGTTGTTATTTTTATGATTGCATCACAAGTAGATTGAGACAAGTAGATTGAGACAAGTAGATTGAGACAAGTAGATTGAGACAAGTAGATTGAGACAAGTAGATTGAGAAAAGTAGATTGAGACAAGTAGAATGAGACAAGTAGATTGAGACAAGTAGATTGAGATGAGTAGATTGAGACAAGGAGATTGAGACAAGTAGATTGAGACAAGTAGATTGAGACAAGGAGATTGTGACAAGTAGATTGAGATGAGTAGATTGAGACAAGGAGATTGAGACAAGTAGATTGAGACAAGGAGATTGAGACAAGTAGATTGAGACAAGGAGATTGAGACAAGTATATTGAGACAAGTAGAATGAGACAAGTATATTGAGATGAGTAGATTGAGACAAGGAGATTGAGACAAGGAGATTGAGACAAGTAGATTGAGACAAGGAGATTGAGACAAGTATATTGAGACAAGTAGAATGAGACAAGTAGATTGAGATGAGTAGATTGAGACAAGTAGAATGAGACAAGTAGATTGAGACAAGTAGATTGAGATGAGTAGATTGAGACAAGGAGATTGAGACAAGGAGATTGAGACAAGTATATTGAGACAAGTAGAATGAGACAAGTAGATTGAGATGAGTAGATTGAGACAAGGATATTGAGACAAGGAGATTGAGACAAGTAGATTGAGACAAGTAGATTGAGACAAGGAGATTGAGACAAGGAGATTGAGACAAGTAGATTGAGACAAGGAGATTGAGACAAGTATATTGAGACAAGTAGAATGAGACAAGTAGATTGAGATGAGTAGATTGAGACAAGGATATTGAGACAAGGAGATTGAGACAAGTAGATTGAGACAAGTAGATTGAGACAAGGAGATTGAGACAAGGAGATTGAGACAAGTAGATTGAGACAAGTAGATTGAGACAAGGAGATTGAGACAAGTATATTGAGACAAGTAGAATGAGACAAGTAGATTGAGACAAGTAGATTGAGACAAGTATATTGAGACAAGTAGATTGAGACAAGGAGATTGAGACAAGTATATTGAGACAAGTAGAATGAGACAAGTACATTGAGACAAGGAGATTGAGACAAGTAGATTGAGACAAGTAGATTGAGACAAGGAGATTGAGACAAGTAGATTGAGACAAGTAGATTGAGACAAGGAGATTGAGACAAGTAGATTGAGACGAGTAGATGAGACAAGTATATTGAGACAAGTAGAATGAGACAAGTAGAATGAGACAAGTAGAAAGAAGACTTACAGTCTCCACAAAAAGATTACCAAGATTTGCAGTAATTTACTTGCTGTAAACCTTACGAAAATTATCGATTTTTTAAATAAATTACCGGAACTTTAATTAAACTAGATTAAGTTTCCACAAATGATTTGAGATATAAAAAGATTTGAAAGGATTGATGGCAATAGATGGTTTCATAATCATAAAAGATGGTTTCTTAACACAGTGAAATACTTTTAATGTGAAAACGCTTAACATGAAAAATCGGTTCACACAAACTAATAATGAGGTCCTGACAAAATAGTGTGTATTTTCATACTTTTTTTTCTTTTAACATGAAATATCAATGGCTTAACATGAAAAGATTTCGCTTCTCTGAATGAACAAAATACATACACCTGAATGTAGATGAATCTGAAATAAAAAAAAGAGGCGGTGTCTCGTGTGAAAGAAGGCTAGCTCGAAATGAATAGTACAGTGGACGATATCGAACAATGTGTTGACAATTTGATGCTACCAAAAAGACAATGCAAAAAACAAAACAAAAAACTACAAATCCATACATTTTTAATTCGTTTTTATAAAAAAAAAATTAAAATTATTAAAGTTGATTAAATTTTCACTAACATTTTTATTCGTTTTATTGTTTTTTACTAAATGCATACATGTATGTATAAAATACAAAATGTATAATAATTTGAAATGTAAATAGTTATCTAATATGATGTACTCTAATAAATTTAATTTTGGTGAGTATATTCTTTTCTGTATACATCCTTTAACACGAAAATCTTTTAACACAAAGAAATATTTTGGTCCCCTCAGTTTTGTGTTAAAATGATTTTCACTACAGATGGTTTCATATTAGATGGTTTCACTATAGATGGTTTCATATTAGATGGTTTCACTATAGTATAGATGGTTTCACTATAGATGGTTTAATATTAGATGGTTTAAAAAATTGATTTACTTTCATTTAAAAGTTTTTTTTAAAGACAATATTTGTGATATTGGGCAATTTAAAACACCATTTTCTTTCCTCCGTTTAGATAGTTCCACTGAATCACATTATACAGCCATCTGGAAGCAATTGTGATTGTAAATAAATATTGAACTAAATAAATGACTTTTAATAATAAATAGACAAAAACAAGCAATATAAATTAACAAACCTAAATCATAATCTCCTTATAGTAAAACTAGAATACATGACCCGATCTTATTTGGATAAAAATGCTAGGTATTTTTTAAGAATCCAAATGTATTTAAATTAATTCGTTTCTTTAGCGTTATTTGGACACCTTAGCTCATTCCTATATATATGTTTTTTTAAAAAAAACATTCCATCCCAGTAATGAAACTGAGCCCTCCTGGTTAGAGAACCATTCTTATCAGCCAATGTGCTTGAACTATGTTGGCATTTTTAAATATTGTTTTTCGCGGTATAAAGAATAACGAACCATTTAATATTTTTATGATTCAAACTTAAAAACTTTAAAACTTATTCGACATGCACAAAAATTCAAAATTAATTCTCCCATGTTAAAAAATGTAACCCAGTAGCTCATATGATTATCGCATTGTTCTCCGCAAACGCAAATTCGACCATGCTAAAACACTTCTGAGAGAGTTGCATTGGCTGCCGGTGCGTGCTCGCAACGAGTACAAAATCGCAACTTTGTGCTACCGCTGCTTACATGACCTGGCGCCGTCCTATCTGAAAGAGCTGCTGACGCTTATGTACCCACTAGAGAGCTCTGCTCATCCGATAGTGGCAAACTCTCGACACCACGTGTTTGCCTTGAGACTTACGGAAAGCGCACTTTCGCATTTGCTGGTCCAACAATTTGGAACGCCCTTCCTGTCGATCTCAGAAACAATCAGACACTGGAGTCCTTTAAAACCGATTTAAAGACACATCTATTTCGCAAACACCTTCTGGGATGATTGTCAACCTTATTTTCCAGTTAATGCATAATGGCTGTGTTGCGTATGGTTGAAATGGCTAGAAAGACTTTGCCATTGTATGCTTGTAATTAGTTTTTGTAGTGTTGCGTTTGTTTTAAATGTGGTAAATTATAGATTTGTTTTTTATTGACTTTGTACCCCGCTTCGAGCTTTTGGGGATGAAGTGTGTTTTTGAAATGAACTTTATTATTATTATTATTATGTGAATATTCCAATTGTTATATGTAGTTAAAAGTATGACGTAAGAAATTAAATGGTCGCCTGGAGAGAATTTAATATTTTCATCTTTGTCAAAGTTTGGCAATGCAGCACCTTATTAAATAGGTAAATTTGTAAGTATAGGCGTAGAGGTATATTTGTAAGTAGTTAGTATAGACATATAGGTATATTTGTAAGTATAGACATATAGGTATATTTGTAAGTATAGACATATAGGTATATTTGTAAGTATAGACATATAGGTATATTTGTAAATATAGACATATATCTATAATTGTAAGTGTAGACATATTGGTATGTTTGTAAGTATAGACATAAAGGTCAGTTTGTAAGTACAGACATATAGGTATGTTTGTAAGTATAGACATATATTTGTAGAGAATTAGCTATCTTAATTATCTAAAAGTCCAATGTTTCGGAAAGGCAAGCCTTTCATCTTATCATATTCCACATTAAATATCAATTTTTACTGTCATGTGCTTATGTCAGTCATCAACAATATTGCCTGTACATTTCAAATAATTGCTGTGTATTGAAAAGTCAGACATTTTGATTGATCTATGTATACCCTTGTAAGTCATCAAATTATGTAGATCATGATGCGATTTGATGCAGGTTTGAATATGTATAAGTATGTCATGTTGATACAGTATCAAATTTATTTAAACTATTGTTAAAATGTTTTGTTTTTTTTTGGGGGGGGGGGGGGGGGGTTGGTGTTTTTTTT